AGAGCTTTCGGCTGGGGGACGCTCCCGGGGGCCGACGGCTGGCCGCCAGCCAAAGGCGCCGGAGCTGCAGCGACAGAGCAGAGGGAACCTAAAGCTGTGCCCCACCGTGGATCCCGTCCGCACCTCCAAACGGCTGCCTCCTCAAGGTAGTTTTAGGGAGACGCCCGGGGACAGCATTCTTCCCAGAAAGCGGCAAGCTATCCATGTCACTTCAAGCCAACATAAGTCTTTATTCTTCTCTTACAAAAGTGAGTTATTGAGACTTTAAGTGCCAGTTAATGAGAAACTTGTAGCTATTCTCCTGTATGGGTCTATACACTTCTACACTGTAACAAAAAAGGAATTTTACCAGGAACTCAGCAACAGGTACACTATCATCAACAACTGACAACAACAATGACTCTATTTGAACACACAAGTCCCTTAAGATTCCCATGCTCCATACCTTCCTTGTCCCCCCCTCACCAAATACTGTAGCAGAAAATACATACATCCAACCCCATTGGGCTCACTCAAGTCAGGGTGAGATGATTTGCAGGAAGCCACTCCGAGAGGAACCTGGAGGGCCAGCAAGCAAGCCCTGAGGCCCGCCGGGTAAGGCTGCTTGACAAAACTGGAGGTCCCTGTTACACACAGGTATGCGTCCTGATCCATAGTGCGCTAGACATGTGGATAATTCCCAGCAGAGCAGGAAACAAAAGGCAGCCCAGGTACGTAAGATTAAAAGAGGAGGAAAGAGGAGGAAAGGGAGGGGGGGAGATTCCAAAGGGGGGGGGATGTCAGCTCTTGCCCTCACCCTGTGCCTGGACATTTGCCGGGACGGTGGGCCTCTTTCTGGGAGTCAAGGCAGGCTGGATGGGCAAGATCCCAGGGTTCGGTTGCGCCTGCCCAGCTTTAGGCCTTTGGCGCGGGGTGATGGACGTTTCCATCGTAGGAATGGGATCCGTCAGCCTGGGAGAAAGGGAGAAAAATGCACAGACCGTATACACACCATGAAAGGGAAGTCTAAAGTTCTCTCACTAAAGCTTATCAGTCAGGACCTCGAGTTCTCCTGAGCGCCCCCCTCCCCCCCAATGTCCTGGTGGTAAGCAAACCTCCCCAGAAAAAGTGACTTCCACGCTGGCTTTTTGGTGGCTTTTGGGGAAACATGCCCCCAAAGGGATGAACGCAGCAGTCCACGCTTGGCCCCAGTAACTTCACAAATTACACAAAGTGCATGATTTTGAGACACTTTCCCCTGATTTCAGTTCCAGGTGCAGAATGGCAGGTTTGGGGTGCTGGGATCCCTGGTATGCCCTTCGGTCCCTGATTATAGGGAAGGTTGTGGGGCCATGAAAGCGCCTGCAGAAGGAGAAGAGGGTCGCTGAGGAAAGACTCGGTTAAAGAAGCACATTGGGCAGGGGGGTGGAGGAATGACTCCCCCCCCACGGGTGCCAGGGAGAGGAGAGCGTTTGTAGCTGGCCAGCCAGCAGCATGGAAAAGGGTACCGGCAGGAGGACCGACAGGCAGAGAAAGGCCCAACTGGGGGGAGGGGTACCACAGACAGTGGTGCCAACGCCCACCCAGCCTGAACCCAAGGCCGCAGGGGGTGCTGCCACTCAAAAGAAGGAAGTCGTCGAAGTAGAAGGCACCGAAGGAGGCACGAAGTGATTCTATCACTGGAACTTTGCAAGCATGAAATGCAGTCATAACCTGCTTCAAGCTCAGGGCGCGTTCCCATAAAATGGAGCACTACCTGAAACAGTGCTAAAAACAGGTTTGATGCTATCTTTTATGGAGGCCCTGGCCCAGCCTTATCTCTAGCAGAGTGGAGAGGCCACGCGGGATCACCCGGCGCCCGGGCGGCCTCCTTCAGGCAGGCCAGTCCTCCCTCAAGCACACCCAGATCAGAGCACGATAACAACATCAGTGCCGTATGAGCTATCGAGGCAGAACTGTGCCTCTTCTCTTGCACAGACTCCCCTTCCCCTCTCCATCCGCCAGAGGCGCCTCCTGTAAAGGACAGCTGAAACATGTCGGAATGACTTCATGCGTTTGAAGACCAAAGACAATATACTATTCAAATCTGCCGTTTTGATAGACTTTAGGGAAGAGCGGGCAAAGGCATAATGAGCCTGATGGCCACAGCTGGCAGCCTCCAGTGCCATTGTTTGCAGCAACATCCGTAGAAAGAACGCTTGTCCGGCTCAGAGCGCCCCGCTCTAAATGGATCCCCTTCCAGTTCTAGGACATCAGCTACAGGGAGCATCCTTCAGCTAAGAGATTAAAAGCAGCTTCCCCTTTCCAGCACCCCACTTGGTGAAGGCCAGAAGAGGGACCAGATGCATCCTGGCTGGGGGAAAAAAACGCTCCAGATACTTCAAGCAAGCGAGACCAGCCCCACAGTAGAGGAAACCAAAGGGGCGCCTTGGCCATGGAAGCAAAACCAAGGAGACCCTCCCGCACTAAGGCCCCTGCAGTTCCAGGAGGGGACTGGAGAGGAGAGATGGGAAAACAAGCCCAAGGAACCGGCTGCGGTCCTTGGGAATGGAGGGATGGAAGGCTGGACGGTCCAGAAAAGAGGAGGGAGGAGGAAAAGGAAATGCCCGGCTCACCTGGCTTTGGGCTGGCTTTTCTTAGCAGCAGCTTCACTGGCTTTCACCGGTTCTGGGAGTTTGGCAGGGATGGAGGAATTCTGCAAAGACAAAAAAACTGGCACTTATTGCACCCAAAGGGGCCAGCGGGCGGCAGGAAGGTGCGAAGAAGTATCAGAAAGCAACGCAGAGCCAGAGCACCCCAGCTCCGGCTCTCTCCGCTTCTGCAAGGTGCAAAATGGCTTAGCCTCCTGAAGGGGAGAAGCAGCCCCAGACTTTCCCACATAGCAGTCCTGGCTGCAAAAGGTAAGAGATAAAAACACTGTTGTATGTTAGCAGAAAAACTCTTGTCATGATTCCGGTAACTCTTAAAATACACGCAAAAGGCCAAGGGAAACACAGGCACACCGTGGAGGGACAGTCACAGGATTTGGGGGAGATCAAAGAGAATCACACACCTTCCCGTGTACTAAACTAAAGGTGTACGGGGTCTGTGTTCTTTCAGGTGACATCTTCCAAACTTTTGCAGGCAAGGAGGAAGGAGAACACAGCTTAAAAGGGCTGGCCCCAGACTTTTGGTCTTCTCCACTTTGAGCAAAGCAGCACCAACTATAACTCACCTGGACGTTCGGTACAGGACATTCCCGCTTAGCTAGCTTGAATGCAAAATAGGAGACCTGATAAATGTCCGGCCTCTTGTCAGGGTCCAGTTCCAGCATATACCCTGTAAAACAGAGACACCTGTCAGGCTGGCTGTGTGCTTCCCAAAGGACACCCCACCCCACCCCAGAGATGTTCTGTGTCCTATTCCTGTTCAGAACCCAGGTCACCGGGGAGATACTCACGTATGAGGCAGTGCATGTCTTGGGAGTAGCGGGAGTTGTCAGGGATGGTGAAGTTCCCGTCGCAGATGGCCACTTGACTCTCTCCGAAGGGTAAAGTAAAATAACAGAGTTTGTACAGCAAGCAACCCATGGCCTAGAAGGAGACCAGCAAGACTTTATCAGCAAAGTAAGCAAAGGCTTGGCCCCTTAGGACGTCGCGCCCCTGAGCCCAGCAGTCGGTGGCATTCTATTTGATACAACTGAGACATGCATCATCAGTGTCCAACAATTTGTTTTATTTACAGCAGATTCATACTGGGGTTTTTATTCTATTGTTATGATTTAAAATACAGGTTTTATCCCACCTTTCTCCTTAAAAAGGGCCCAAGGTGGCTTACATCGTTAAAAAGAAAATTATCTAAAAGTTAAAAAACAGTAAGGACACAAATTTTAAAGAAGAATTAAGCAGGTATGATATTTAAAATGGTCAATAAAATCAGTACTAAAACACAATTAAAACAACAGAGCACAACAAACCATTTTTTAAAAACCTTCTCAGACCACCAGTCGTTAAGGAAAAGCCTGCCTGAGAAAAAGGTCTTGGCCTGCTGATGGAAGGGGGGGGGGCGAAGACGGGGTCAGTCCTCCAGTGGGAGGGAGTTCCACAGGCTCTGGGAACAGCCACAAGGACGGCCCTCCTCTCCCGTGTCCCCATCTGAGACGCAGAGAGTGGTGCGGCTGAGAAAGAGGCCTCCCCAGATGATCTTAACACCCGAGCAGAGGGAGATGCGGTCTCTGAGATCACTTGGACCCAAGCTATGTTCATGACTAATTGCCGCTAGCTGTTGAAGCGCCGGTGTGTTTCATCCATGTGTGTCAATCAAGGATGCTGTGCAGCCAAGAAGCAGCCCCAGCACCTTATCAATGAGCTGAAATTAGCCACGGCAAGTGTCACGAACATTATGCAACTACCAGTAGGATCCCGGCCAATAATTATTTCCAGGTAAATAACTCAAGTTAAAAGCAAGGCAGCCCAGTTAACTCATTACTTTCTCCCTGGAGAAAGTGGTTGGTTTCCGAGATGTGGACTGGGGTGGGCATTCCCTTGGCAAGCGAGTGGTTCAACAGGTTCTCAGAGCGCCTGTCCCCCTGAAATGCTGCTGGCACAGCCCATCCTTCGGAATAACCTCCGATTCCTGGGATTTAATGTCCACACACTATTCACACAAGCCTCTTAAAGCCACCTGCCATCCCCTAAAGACATAAATAAAGACTGCACCGCAAGAACCTGGGCACAGTCCAAAGTAAATGCATTGCTAATAAAATATTAAAGGCGAACCTATCTTTGAAACACATTAATAAAACGTCCCACTAAATATGAGTCCCTCTATTGCTAAATACAGCCTCTGGCCATAGAGGGCTTGAGTAAAAATTAAAAAAAAAGGGAACGGCCGTCGCTCCGAGACAAGTACGGCTTACCAAGATGAAAGCTGGAAGAGAACCTGGTAATCAGAGAGCAACCCTCTGGGGTCACCTCTGGTGATGGAAAGAGACAAGCCACCTCGGCCTGTCCAAAGGTTTTGTAGCAACACAGATGCTTTTGCCTCCTTCTTGGTAGCTGTTGAGATGGCTGTGAGATGGTCCCTTTCTTATAGCATTCGGCACTTTCTTCTCCTCCAGAGGGGCTGGTCTTGCTTCATTCTCATGGTATGGCTTGCAAGGGGACACCACAATTCCACCCAGCAGACACCAGACTTGATCCGGCTTTGGGGGCTGAGTAGGGCCAAGCTGGGTTAATATTTGGATGGGAGAGACCACCATAGAACCACACGGAGAGGAGGGAAAGGCTCCTGCCTCCAACCTCAGACAACCAGAGGTTTCAATCGGGCCTGGTGGGACTTCAGCAGACACAGCCTAAGACAGCTCCCGATGTCCCCAGGGCGCCCATTGGAAAGTTCGAACGCCGTACGTCTTTGAGGGTTTTAGGAGTCAACTAAGCAAACACACAAAGCTGGGGTGCTTGGTGTGCCAAAGACCCAGGAAGGGGCTTCTGAAGCCAGACTGATATGTCTGCTAGCAGCATCGGGCAGTTCCAAACCCTGACTTCATTGCACATTGGCGTACACAAACATTTAGTGGCTCAATAAACCTCCATAACTGGCCCACACCTTGAAGTATACTGAGGTGGCATATTAAGAAGCCCAAGAGTATGTTGTTCAATACATTCAGGTTGCAAGCCTTCTAGGGTCAACCCAACTGGTGAAAGCCAACCCACAACATTTCAACTCAACTCTTCTTTGGAAAAAGACCGGGTGACTTACATGCAGGACTGCAGCTAGACATTTGTAATGGAGGGATCTAGACGGGTGGAAAATCATTGCAAAATAGCAAAAACATGAGGGTGCAGGACACAAAAAATGCCTTGATTCTACTTCTTCTTTGTGAAGATCTGAGTAGTTCCCCACTTGAGTGGCTTTTCCATTTCCCTCCAAAATGCCACCTTCCACTAAGTCGTATTTTCTGCTGGTTGTGTCGGGCGTCAAAGGGAGGCTGTGGCTGAGACCTCAGTCTTGGGGAGATTTAAACACTCCACGGTGGGGGCTTTCTTTGGGTCACATCAGGCAGGAGACCAACAGGTGGGGATGGGGACTGGGACAGGAGGGACCACAGACCACACTGGGGCAAGCGATTCGAAGAAGCACCTCACCTACCCAGATATCTGCTTTTGTAGTAATCAGCTTGCCACTATAGAGGTTGACCATCTCTGGTGCTCTGTAGGACAGCGTGGTGTATCTACAGAAAGACAAAACGATGCTCAAGTATTTGACATCAATGAACAAATACACAGGGCTCCCCTCAAAGACCAAGCAAGAATTTCAGTCACTGTTACATTCACCACAGTGCTAGGCTACTACGGAGCCTACAGTGTACTTGGACTACAACTTCCATAAGACCTCACCATTCAACTGGTCAAGAACCAGAGGTAGTTGCAGCCCCATATCTGGAGGGAACCATGCCTTAGGAGGAAAGACTGAGAGAATTGGGCAGGTTTAGCCTTGAGAGAAGAATACAGAGGGGAAACAGGAGAGCACTTTTCAAAGACTTGAAAGCACATCGTACAGAGGAGGGGCAGGATCTGTTCTTGATCATCCCAGAGTGCAGGGCACAGTAATCATGGGCTCAAGCGACAGGAAGCCAGATTTTGGCTGAGTATCAGGAAAAAACCTCTGAACTGTTAAAGCGGTACGACAAGGGAACCAGTGACCTTGAGAGGTGGTGAGTGGTCCAACCCCAGAGGCATTCAAGAGGAATTTAGAAAGCCACCTGTTAGATATCCTTTCATTTGGATTTCTGCATTGAGCAGGGGGATTGGACTCAACCGCTTTATAGGCCCTTCCAACTCTGTCATTCTAGGATTCTATAAATGCAAAGCCGTAGGATGCAACCCACCATATCAGTAAGTCTTTTCCATGTTAATGCCCTGCTTTTTGC